CCAGTCACCATCCCTGTCCCCTCTCTTGGTCCCCATCCTGGTCCCTGATCCTTCTCCTAGTCCGCATCCCTTGTCCCCCCTCCTGTCCCCTCTCCCTGTCACCTGTCCCATCCCTGGCCCCCTGATCCCCATCCCAGTCCGTGACCCCCCCCAGCCCTGGTCCTCCCTTCTTCCCTGACCCGGTCCCCAATCCCTGTCCTGGTCTCCATCCCTTGTTCCCTCTCCTGTCCCCTCTCCCTGTCACTGTCCCCTGCGGTCTGCTCCCATTCCTGGTCCCCTGGGATTGTCATCCTCTATCCTCTGTCCCCTGCCCCGGTCCCCATCCCTGCCTGCTCCCTGTCCCCGTCCCTTTCCCAGCTCCTTGTCCCCTGTCCCTGTCCCATCTCCTGTCCCTGTTCCCTGTCCTTGTCCCTAGGTCCTGTCCCATGTCCCGGTGTCTCCCTGTCACTGTCCCCTGTCCCCTGCCTCACTCCCCATCCTCGGGCACTGTTGGCGGTGCACGCGGGTGTCCCAGGACGTGTCCCCGTCCCTGTCCCCATCCCCAGACAACCTGTCGTACATCGAGCACATCTTTGAGATCTCGCGCCGCCCCGACCTGCTGACCATGGTGGTGCAGTACCGCACGCAGGTGCTCAAGATCTCGGAGGAGGACGAGGTGGACACCAAGCTCACGCGCATCCCCAGCGCCAAGAAGTACAAGGGTAAGACCCCCCCCCACGATGGGAACCCAGGGACAGGGACGCCCAGGGACAGGGATGGGGACCCCCAGGGACGGGGACCCCCAGGGACAGGGACCCCCAGGAACAGGGACAGGGATGGGAACCCCCCTGGCCAGGTACAAGGACCCCCCCCACACCATGATGGGGACCCAGGGCAGGGACAGGACCGTCCTGGTCCCCAAGGCAGGGACAGGGACCCCCAGGGACAGGGACAAGGAGGGGGACCCACAGGGACAGGGATGGAGACCCCCCTGGCCAGGGACAAGGACCCCCCTGCACCGTGATGGGGACCCCAGGGCAGGGACAGGACTGTCCTGGTCCCCAAGGCAGGGACAAGGACCCCGCATCCCCAGAGCAGGGACAGGGACCCCCAGAGCAGGGACAAGGACCCCCAGGAACAGGGACTAGGGATAGGGATGGGGACCCCCCTGGCCAGGGGCAAGGACCCCCCCACACCACGATGGGGACCCCAGGGCAGGGACAGGACCCTCCTGGTCCCCAAGGCAGGGACAGAGACCCCCCCCATCCCCAGAGCAGAGACAGAGACCCCCCAGGGCAGGGAGAGGGACAAGAACCCCCCCCCGGCCAGGACAGGGACCCCAAGGGACAGGG